GGTGCCGTCGCACTTATCGCTTGAAAAGCTGTTCATCATCTACAGCGGTTGCGTCAGGGGCGAGCACCACAGGAATGGTCCGCATCGCGGGTACAGGAGCGCCACCTCTTTGAGCGCGAAGTCGAGCGCGGTACCTACCGAGTCCTGCTCGAACCTAGACACTGTGTCCTTTGCCAACCTCTTGACTTTCGGGGGAGGTGGTATTATTAATAATCGTCGAGGCGATTGTTAATAAAACCAGCTGTTGTCCTCAGCGCGGCTATACGCGCGCATCGACGGCCGGTCCTAGACCCTCGTGTGAAATTCGGCTTCCGCCGGCGGATCCCGCTACTGAAGTGAAGGACGCGATCTCTCGGTCGCTGGGCGTTTACGTAGTCGCCCCTCGGACACTACACAAGCTGAGCTTGACCAATAAAAAGCTCCCCGAGCTCGCTTTTGTGCACCCCAAGAAATCTCAATAAGTAACCACGCCAAAGTATCATCGCTTAGCATTGATTGTGTACAGTACGGATGAGGGTGATAAGACTTAATTAAAAGGACTCGTGGGCTGCTAGCCCCACTATAGCGTACGAATTCTTCCGTCGTGCGCTGGTCAATGTGGACACGCAGAGCCAATGCTATCTTTGTGCTCGACAACCCTGTGGCAGCAATAAGGAACATTCGCATTTCGCTCTTTTGTGCAGAATTGTGGAATAGAGGCTACTCTTTGTAATCAAGTGTATATATTGTTGGTTATGAACAGTCAAACTTCATTTACCAAACTTACACCTCGTCTAGCCTAGCTTAGAGTCAATATTCCGAAAGACATGATTTATGATGGCCTTACAAAAGTAGCATCTATATATTTAACCAAGATTGAGTCGGCACTTACAAAATTTAATGTCAACATTGAACAATGTTCATGTCGTAAAATGTATTGCGGGAAGTCTTGTAGAAAATGGCTAATCAAAGATGTTAAAGATAAACGCATTCTAGATCTTTTTCCCGCTCAGGCGCAGAACTCATTTCCACACTCAATGTGTCCATAACCAGACGATCTGAGTAAAAAAGTAGTAAATATCTTCCTGCATTTTTGAGAAAAAAGTCATTGATTACAAATATCTTACGTGGAGCTATGGGCATCGCAGCGACTTCAAGGATGCCAAAGACCAATGCGTCGGAACTGGATCTTTTGCTCGGTGATGAGGCAGGAAGCGCGAGTAGGTATGACGCAAAGGAGAAGGCTCTTGTTCTGTCCGTTGGTGAGATTCAAGCGCCTAACGAAGAGCCCACGACGCACGGCTTCAGGTATATATACACGTATTATTTACATGCAACTATCTAGATTTGACTTTAAATTACAGCTGGCGAACGCTGTGGGTGTACGCAGGTCCAGGATGGCTCATGAGCGTTGCTTATGTCGATCCTGGTAATCTGGAGAGCGATTTACAGGCTGGTGCCTATGCCGGCTACCAGCTAACGTGGGTTTTATTCGGTGCAACAGTCATGGGACTTTTCTTACAAGTGCTTGCAGCTCGACTGGGTGTCGTTACTGGCAAAAATTTAGCAGAAATGTGTACATGTGTCTATCCACGCTGGGCATCAGTGACTTTGTGGATTATGACAGAAATTGCAATCGTTGCAAGTGATGTCCAGGAAGTTTTAGGTTCATCGATTGCATTTCAAGTGCTTTTTGGCTTTCCACTTTGGATTGGCTGTCTTATTACAGGATTCGATACATTTACATTCTTGCTCTTACATCGTTATGGAATTCGGAAACTTGAAGCGTTTTTCGTTTCATTGATTTTAGTGATGCTCGTGTGCTTTTGTGCCAATCTAGTACGTGGAGAGGTAGCGTCAGTAGACATTCTAGGTGGTTTTGTACCACGAGTCGATCGCTACGCTGTGACTCAAGCTGTTGGTATTCTAGGTGCTGTGATTATGCCTCACAATATCTTTTTACACTCGGCACTCGTTCAAACACGACAAGTAAATCGACACGATGGGCGCAACGTGCGTGAAGCAAACAAATATTTTGCAATCGAGTCGACACTTGCTCTATTTGTATCGTTTTTAATTAACTTGGCAGTGCTCGCAGTTTTTGCCAAGGGATTTTTTTCGTCAGATTGTACCGCATCATATGAGACAAATGGAATTAATACGGCGTGTGTTCCGACTGCAATTGTCGATGGTGTTACGTATGGTTCCTGCCAACTTGCAAGCGGTGGTACAGGAATGTGTCAAGAAATTGGGTTATCACGTGCTGGGGTCGCACTTAGTGGTATGCTGGGAGAATATGCGGACACGATATGGGCCATCGGCTTGTTAGCAGCAGGACAAAGTGCCACTATGACAGGAACATACGCTGGTCAATTTGTGATGGAAGGTTTTTTACAACTTCATCTATCACCTTGGAAGCGAGTTGCACTGACACGATGTGTGTCTCTCGTTCCAGCTATGACTGTCGCAATACTAAGTCAACGGAACCCCGCAGATAGTGATCATATGGACGAATTGCTTAATGTGTTGCAGTCTATCCAACTTCCATTTGCATTGTTGCCTGTACTAACTTTTACGAGCTCCCCTGCAATTATGGGTGACTTTGCAAACAGCAAAGCGACGATATTGACGGGCTGGCTCATGGGTGGTGTTGTCTGTGTCACGTATCTGTACTTGCTCTTCACGAATCTTGAAGGGCTTGATTTTGGTCCATTGGGACTTTTGATGCTAACTTGTATTGGCTGTATGTACTTTGGTTTTTTGGGATATCTCGTCCGTGCTGATACAACTCTCTCCACTTTACGCACAAGCACTTGTAAGACCTTGACGTGACGACGTAAATCGCAAGATGTGTAGAATCGCAATCACAATGGCTAATAGATAATTACAGCAAGTAGTAATTTTGTTTACCAATAATTTATTAAGGACTTTACTCTGCGTAATTGCGTCCGTACATCTCGACACGTCTAGCACGGCGTCTCATCGCCATTTTAGCGCGTGTCTTCCACACCTTTAAAAGCTTTTGAGCTCGATCATGCACCTCATGTGACTCAGTACGACGTGATAGTCGAGTAAGTGAGACGCCAATGTGCGTTTTTTCAAGCATTTCAAGCGATACAAAAAGATGTTCTAATGTATGTAAAATATTCAACATATTGGCAATTGTCTTTGCTTCGTCCATCTCTTCTTTAAGATATTGCACACGCTCTTCTGAAACCACTTTATCTCCATGATAAATTCTTGTTTGTCTCTGACGCTTTTGAAGTGATGCAGATGTTGCTTTCGCTTGTGAATTTGCCAATGCCATCGCCGCGTCACCTCGCAGTACAAATTCATCCATAGTTTGTGTTTGACCAACATTCTGACAAATGTGGTTATGTGTACCACATACAATGTTTGCGCATTTGTCGTCTAAACCAATCACAGCACGTCGATATAAGCAAAATACGCGGTCGTTCATTATCCATTTCATCTTTTTTAAGTATGGGCAAGACATACAAGATTGCAGTACTACCAGGTGATGGTATTGGCCCCGAAGTGTGTGACCAAGCCGTACAAGTGCTACAGACAGTAGCTGAATTGTTTCAACACCACTTTGACTTCATGCCAGCACTCTGCGGTGGTGCAGCCTACGAGCAGCATAAAACTCATTTACCTCAATCAACTGTTGACATTGTAGCGTCGTCAGATGCCGTGCTCTTTGGGTCAGTAGGTGGGCCGACAGATGCTCAAGAAGACCCAAAGTGGCGAGATGCTGAAAAGAATTGTCTGCTTGGATTGCGTCAGAATTTTCAATTGGCCGTTAATATCCGCCCAGCAAAGATTTACTCAATGCTACCAGATTTATCTCCATTAAAGTCAAGTATCATTTCGAATGGAGTTGACATGGTGATTATCCGTGAACTTGTATCGGGTATTTACTTTGGCGAACACCAGACAATTGATGATACGGCCACAGATATCATGAGATATACCGAGGCTGAGGTTTGGCGAATATTACATATTTGTGATTGCAAGGATATTTTACTAATTTGTGGTTGATGGAAAGATTGCTAAACCTATGAAGTTTGCTTTTGAGACGGCAATGAAGGTATGTTGCTTTATGAAGTATTGATTCATAGCTAATAAATTTGCTTTCTTCATTTGGTTTAATTCTAGCGATCCAAACGCCTGACAGTCGTAGACAAAGCCAATGTGCTGGATTGTAGTCGTCTATGGCGCAAGGTCGCTAAAGACATAGCCAAGAGCTTTCCGGAGGTGCAATTGGACTTTTTGTAAGTGGTGGTGTGTATATCTGTTGAAGTTTGTCAGGTAATGACTGAATACTGCTGTTTGCAGATACATTGACAATGCTGTGATGCAGCTGATTCGAAATCCGTCCCAGTTTGATGTGATCGTGACGGGTAACATGTTTGGAGATATCCTCTCGGATGCAGCCTCCGTACTGCCAGGATCATTAGGTCTCATGCCCTCAGCTAGTCTTGGTGATAGTGTCCACTTGTTTGAACCTATTGGCGGGTCAGCCCCTGACATTGCTGGCAAAGATCTCGCAAATCCAATCGCGCAGATCCTGTCGGGTGCGCTACTGCTACGTTACTCGTTCAAGATGGAAACGGAGGCTCAGCTGATTGAAAAGGCTGTGGAGCATGTGCTCTTAGATGGTGTGCGCACAGGTGATTTGACCAGGGATCAGTCTGTAGTAGTGGGCACCAAGGCCATGGGCGCTGCCATTATTGCCAAGATGAAAGCGCTGATACATTAAGCCGAAGCACAAATATATGTGTAGAATTTTCTCTTTGTATTATTTTGTTAGAATGAGATCAAAGCAATACTTGTATCAAGGGGCTGTCTTATTATTATGCAATTAAAGTCTTCTGCCCACGGTTAGAGAGAATGAAAAGCTTCACCCACTGTTCCAAAATCTCTTGACCATGTGGTAGGCCTTGTTTTTCCGATGTTTCGTTTTCTTCTTTTCGTGTCCACTCGATGCCTCGATATGATTACCTGCCGACGTTCCACCGACTACCCAAGGCCCCCCTCCTACCGGTAATTTCCTTTTTCGCTCATCATCATCAGGTGAGTTTTCCTCAATCTGGCGAAGGTGATTATCTTTGCTGGATTCAACACCATCTAGCGATGATAACGTACGAGCTGTTTCTGTTGGTGTGATATTCTTGTGGAGAGCAATTGCGAACCCGTTGCTTGCAAGCAAGACAGCCAATGTGACTAGAAAGACTTTGTATACTCGGTATTTAATCATCTTCGGCGCAAAATCGAAAATGAGTTTTTTGCTGGATACTTCCTCCACCAGTATCTGAGTTATGTATCCTACGGTCTGCGCCAGAAACCATGTTTTATGTGGAGTAATGTTCGGGATTTGAGGCATCAGAACCCACAAATAGGATTAAAATGATCATAAAATCATCATCCATGGTACAAGTATATATGGCTATACTTGGACTTACGAGAAGCACCAATGTACGGTGCTATGAAGAAGTATAATTACAAGTACATTACGGATGAGGGTAGAACAGATGTGCATCAGCAATTAAACATTTGCTAAGCTAAACATGTAACTGAGTGCAGTACGTACCGTATTGTATACACTATGAAATTGTGCGAAACAAAACCGAAACTTGCCAAAGATTGGTACTAACGGGGACGATGAGTCTTCTTTACGGAAATGTCCTGAGCTGTTATCCACATGCCGTGCAATACATTTTTAATTATTGGATTTGGTAAGACAGAGCAGACCATGGAGTCTGCGTGCACGTCTTATCGAGATATCGACATTTGGGTCAGAATCGTGGCCGCATCTAGCTAATTATTTGCCGTAAGCCTTTCTGACACAAAAAATTGGCGCAGTGTGAAGATTCGATTTCTCGTAGAAAAACATTTTGTGCTTTGCGTGAGAAAGGGGCAACGACGTCACACTGTTCCCTTGTAAGGGCCATTTGCAGTGTGACGCATTATGTTGTTCCGGGAACCAGGTCAATTATATGACGTACTTCCCTAATTAAGGGTAACACGCATAATGGATATCTCATCATCACGTCGTATCATTCCTCCAACGAAAGATGAAAAGGATCCTAAGGTTCTAACGACCAGCTAGGCTCACTACTTGCACAGAGCAGAGCACTGCGAATGTCCTTAATGACAGACGTATCCATGACGAGGGAGGAGTCCAGCTTCTCTTTTGCTACCAATCGTACAGTTACAACCCCACTGCTAACCATACTGAGGTATTGCACGTAAGTGCTTATTCTCTAGGGCGCACAACCTCCTAGCTAAGAGATCGCAAGCACGACGCGTCTCGCTCCAAGAGTTTATTGCTATCCTTAACGAAAGTCTCTCCGTTCAGGTCCTTAAAGAACTAGAAGCATATCATCAGGGCCTCGCGATGAGAGCCATCTAATTCTCGCCCTGGTTCAGATTCAAATGTTTTTGGGTGTGCCTCACCATCGCACTCTCAAAGCTGAAGAGCGCCTTCGAACGACCAGTTACCTGATCAAGTTCTTCGGCCGACAATTCAAGGATTCAAGGATCTCGTTGTGACGCTCGATAGACAGAAGCATTTCAAGAAAGCTGGCCTATTTGTGATGGGGACAGGCTCTATCCTCGCAGAGGAAGTTGACCTTTCACGATTCGGTCAATGAGGTGGACGATATTCTGATAGCCCCAAATTCTTTTCAAGCATCATCTGCTGTAAGTTGACACTTGGAGTACGCCAAACATCGTTTACTTGGCCTCTCCGACTAAACCTTCGACAGTATCTATAGATCCATTCCGCACTGGCTGTCGATTCACTTCTTCATGAACATAATCATCAAAGCATCATCTGCTGTAAGCTGACACTTGGGGAACGCTAAACATTCCTTATTTTGACCTCTCTCACTAATTTCTTCAACAGTATCTATAGATTCGTCCCGCACTAGCTGTCGATTCACTTGCTCATGAACATAATCATCGTGATTGTCCTTTAAGAATTCTAAGGTCACTCTTGTTTCGTTCTTGATCATTGGGATACTTCTGGTTTGACGCAGTGTCTTTGGTAGAGAATCCTTCTTTGAGTGAGCTATGCGTGCATACCAACGCTCCCACTGAGTGTCAGTTCTGAAATAATACACGTTAGATTGCCTCGTCGAGGATTTTGAGGAAGTCGATAACAAGTCGGATACAGCTTTCCCAAGATGGGAAGATGAGGAGGGCACGTTGTGCCAGCGGTGCGACGTGAATCCTGCTCGAACCTTGCAGACACCGTGTCCTTTGCCAACCTCTTGACTTTCGGGGGAGGTGGTATTATTAATAATCGTCGAG